TTTGAAATCTTCTGTTCAGCTCTTTTACCTTTTCATTTCTTCCATTTGCTTTAGCTATTCTCTGCTCAAGGGCAAGGTTCAGAGTCTCCTCTGTCATCCACTCCGTGTAGTCAACCAAAAAACCAAACCCATTGCCATGGAGTGAATTCCGATTCATGGCGACCCCATGTGTTACAGAAAAGAACGGTTCCATAGGGTTTCCAAGGCTGTCATCTTTACAAAAGCAGATGGCCGGGTTGTTCTTCCATGGCGCCCCTGAGTGGGTTTGCACCCCCAACCTTCAGGTCAGTACATGAGCACAAATCATTTGCTTCCATGTAGCCGTTGGCTGTGAACTTACAGTTGGCATGTGAGCTAAAGCCATCTGCAAAAAGGACATGGAGGTGGCATCTTCTGACCTCCTGTAACTTCACAAGGGGGAGACAGAATCACTAGTAACAGCCCAAGGCTGAGTTCTATGAGGCTAAATATGCTACCACCCTCCAGCCTTTCCCTCCCACGGCACTCACTACTTCTCTGCTGGGTTCAATAATTCAGTGCAATGGCTACACAGAACTCACAGGCAATACTCACGATTATGGGGTTTATTAGGGAAGTAACAGGTAACAATTCAGATTCAGGAACACTCTCAGGATACAACTCTTCCATCAGGACAGTCTCCCATCTGCTGTGCCCTCAGGCTCGCCTCTCTGGCCCTTGGCCTCTCGGCCTGGCCTCTGCCCTGCTCAGCTAAGTGTTCCAAGTCTCTTTTAGCTTTGCTAATAGGTCCACCTACGTGCACCCCATTCCGTCAGCAGGCCTCCTGCCCGAGGGCGCTCAGCTTCCTGGCTCTCTAGGCTGCCAAGCCCACTGCTCCGTCTTGTGCCTCAGCTCCACTGCCACCGTCTCTCTGCTGGGTGTTTCTGCCGGGCATCTCAGCCGGGCATCTCTGCCAAGGAGGTCCAGCGCAGGGATCTTAGGCCTGGGGACGTGCGCTGTTTCACTCCACTTCTGGCTATTCTCTCTCGGTGGAAGTGAGAGTCCCCCCTTCTGCCTCCAAAAAACTCCAAACTCACTGCTATCGGGTTAATCTTGACTCGTAGCGACTCCCTTTGGGTTCCGGGGGCAGTAAATCTTTACAGAAGTAGATTGTCCAGTCTTCCTTCTGCGAGTGGCTGGTGGGTTGTTGTTGTTGTTGTTATTTGCCGTCGAGTCGGCCCTGAGTCATAGCGACCCCTTCTTGGGTTTCCGAGATAGTATCACTACAGAAGTAGATTGCCCAACCTTCCTTCCGAGGAGTGGCTGGTGGGTTTGAACCGCCAGCCTTCTGGTTAGCAGTCAAGTGCTTTAGCCACTATGCTACGGGTAGGAGGGCTCATTTTAAGCCCAGCAACACAGCAACACTAACCAATCCCCACATTAGAGTTCCATACACCTTATTTGCATGGTCCTAGCTAAGGCACTTGACTGCTAACCAGAAGTCTGGCGGTTCAAACCCATCAGCCACTCCTTGGAAGGAAGACTGGGCAGTCTACTTCTGTAGTGATACTGCCTTGGAAACCCAAGGAGGGGTTGCTATGAGGCGGGTCCGACTTGACGGCACATAACAACAACAACAACCCTGTAATATGGTGGGAGTCACAAAGACTGGCCGGAAAAGCCATACCAAGTAATTTACTGCACCACACCACAATCTCTAGACTAGATCATCCCTCCAGGCCTCAGATCTTGCCTGTGAAGGGATAACATAGGAAACAAGTCCCTGGGTGGCATGAACAGGTAAGCACTTAACTACTAGGTGAATGATTGACCAGTTAAACCCATGTAGAGGTGCTTCGGTCACATAGAGGTGTCGTGGTTAAGGAATTTGACTGCTGACCTGAAGGTCGGTGGTTCTAAGCCCACCAGCTGCTCTGTGGAAGGAAGATGAGGCAACCTACTTCCATAAAGATTACAACTTCGGAAACCCAATGGGGGTTGCTGTGAGTTGGAATCAACTTGATGGCAGTGAGTTTTGGGATTGTTTTGTTTTGGAGAGGTACCTCCAGAGACAGGCCTTGTGAACAGCTTCCACAAGGTCACGGCCTTGAAGGTCACGGCCTTGAAAACCCATGGAGTGCTCCTGCCCTGTAGCACGGGGGTCGCCATGACCCGGAGTCTTCTGCACTGCAACCTTCGGTGTCTCATTCCAGAGGCTAGATGTTGCCCAGTTCCCACACACCATCACCTCCTTGCAGCAGCACCCAGCGGGGCGGGCAGGCAGGGGTGGCTCTGGGGGCCCGTCCAGAGGCCCGTCCCCGGCTGGACCCCTTCACCTTGCCCTGACCTGCTACTCCGCCCTGGTCAGATGCACGGACCCCACAGGTGTGCAGATGCGCCCCGGGGACAGGGGGACTCTGAGTGAGGATTTGCTGGGGCAGGGGCTGCCATTGTCCCCACCGGTGTTTGTGGCAACAGGACCAAGTCAAGCTTTTTTGCTGTTCCTGCTGTTGTTTTTGCCTTTCAATTCGGTTTCTTTCAAAATACCTGCAATGAGTCTGCACTAAAGTTTTTACTCAAGTGTCCGTTTCTTCCGGTCTCCCATTCCAAATGGGGTGTAAGTGAGGCCTGCATTTCGGAGGCTCATCTGACAGTGTCCGGTGAGCCTCCCACGTGTGGTGGAGTATCTGGCACCCTTCCTGCCTTTCCGGGGTCTCTCTCTCTCTCTCTCTCTCTTTTAAAAAGCAAGTCTTGCTGTTCTTTTCACAGGCTCCCAGATGAGCATCTTAAAGCCATCCAGGATTATATAAGCACACAGCTCGCCCTGGACTGTGAGTTTGTGAAGACAGGCTCCAGCAGCCTGCCTCACCTGAGGAAACTGACCACCCTCCTGTGCAAGGAGCTTTATGGGTAAGGGGGACCCTGGGGGGGGCGGGTCCAGGGCTCAGGGAGTCACCTCCTCAGTGTGACCCTGGGGCTGGCATGGCTGTCCGAGGTCCCCTGCTGCACTCAGAATCATCCGGCTATTGTCTGAGCTCAGAAGTCCTTGTGGCTGCTTAGAAGCTTTGTTTTTGTGGTGTTTGAACTGCAGCTTATTTTTGAAAAAAATAACAGCTAAACTTAAGTTGGTTTGAGGCCAGTTGCTCTGGGGCAGGGTGTGAGGGGGGACTTTTGCTGCTACCCCCTGCCCATTTGCTACAGCCGGCAGCCCTTTGGCTGTTTTAGTGTTCATGGAGGAGGCCATGGTGGTTCCCTAGTGTAATTCTCATATTCCCTATGGGAGACCAAGGAACTCTGGTGGTGTCATGGTTAAGGCATTTGGCTGCTAATGAAAAGGTTGGTGGTTTGAACCCATCAGCTGCTCTGTGGAAGTACGCTTCCTTAAAGATTTACAGCTTTGGAAACCCAGTGGGAGCCGATTGACTTGATGGCAGTGGGTTTGTTTGTTTGTTTTTTTTTTGGATGTGGGAGACCTGGGTTCGGTTCCCAGCCGGCTCACCCCATGCGCAGCCACCACTTGTCTGCCGTTGGGGGCTGGCATGTTGCTGTGAGGCGGGACGGGCTTCAGGAGGGCCTCTGGACTAGCATGGACTAGGAGGAAAGGGCTGGCGATGCAGCCGGTGAGAACCCTGGGGGCCGCAGCGGTCGGTGCCGGAATCCATGACCAGTCACGGGGATGGCGCAGCATTGGCCAGTGTTCCCTCTGAGGCGGCTTTTATGTTGTGCCTGGGCCCATGAGGGGGCCGGCTGGACAGCAGCTGCCAACAACAGCGTCCCACATGCACATAGGGCCCCCAGAATAAGTGGCCCTGAGAGGAAGTGCGTTAGAGGCGGCCTGCCTGCTGCCTGTGTGGTGGTGGTCAGATTGCCAGTGGTGGCAATTTTGTGAAGTGGGCCAGTTTTGTGAAGTGGAAAACCAACACTTTGGTTTTCCAGCACTGGAAGGACCAACTGGTAAAAAGTCTGATTTCTTCTAGGTTCTTTTGATTTGACTATTTTATTTTTTAGTTAACATTCCAATTCATTTAATGTCTTCTTCTAATGTTCCCTGGGGAGCTCTGGTGGCATAGTGCCTAAGGCATTTGACTGCTAACCAGAAGGCTGGCAGTTCAAACCCACCAGGCACGCCTCAGAAGGAAGACTGGGCAATCTACTTCCACAGAGATACCACCTCAGAAACCCAAGGAGGGGTCGTAATGAGTTGGAATCAACTCAACAGCAGTGAGTTTGGTTTTTTTTTTTTTTGGTTCTTATTGTTAGGTGCCATCAAGTTGGCTCCAACTCACAGCAACTCTGTGTACAACAGAATGAAACACTGCATGGTCCTGTGGCATCCTCGCTGTGCTAAATCGATTTTAATTGTTAGATGTGCAGCGTTACAGCTGATCTGCCATCTAAAGGATTCTCCAAGGAATTTTCTGTAGGCTTAAAACTTGGAAGTATAGAACATAACATCCACACGCATCTGAAAGAAATCGTGAAGAACCAGAACAATCCCATGACATGTGGCAGGTTGAAATCTTGGTGTGAAAGATAGCATTCCACACGTGTGAGGTTTTTCCAGCCTGTATGGGTCTGTGTTGTATTTATCATGCAGCTGTTTTAGGATTCCCTTGTCAATTCCTGTGATGTCAGGTCAGTCAGCCTACTCACTATGCAGAAGGAACTGTGTCCTCGTCAGTGATCAAATTGGACTTCCCTTTGAAATGTCCCTAGAAGCACCACACATTTGGTAAATTTAGCAATTAGTTTTTTTGACAAAGTGATCATTCATCAGATTGGCCAGTCAGGCTTCATTTCACTGAATCGACTTTCAAAAGATGTTGTTTCCGCCAACTGGCCAGATGCCTCCTGTCATTTTTATAGGTTTTCGTGGAGGGATTTAGGACAGCTCTGGTGGCCTAGTGGTTAAAGCACTCTGCTGCTAACTGAAAGGTTGGCGGATGGAACCCATCAGCTGCTCCACAGGAGAAAGATGAGGCAGTCTGCTTCCTTAAAGTTTTACAGCCTTAGAAACTCTCTGGGGGCAGTTCTGCTCTGTCCTCTAGGGGCGCTGTGAGTCAGAATTGACTCGATGGCAGTGGGTTTGGTTTGGGCTTCACTTCTGTAAAGATTTCAGCCCTGGAAACCCTGTGGAGCAGTTTCGCTCTGTCCTCTAGGGGTGCTGTGAGTTGGAATCGACTCCATGGCTGTGGGTTTGGTTTGGGCTTTGTTTCCGTGAAGACTGACAGCCTTGGAGACCCTGTGGGCAGTTCCACTCTGTCCTCTAGGGGCGCTGTGGGTCAGAATGGACTCCATGGCTGTGGGTTTGGTTTGGGCTTTGTTTCCGTGAAGACTGATATCCTTGGAAACCCTGTGGGCAGTTCCACTCTGTCCTCTAGGGGCGCTGTGAGTCGGAATCGACTCCATGGCAGTCAGTTTGGAGGCATTTTGTTCCATTTGATTCTGTTGTTAAAAATCACTGCTGGGGTCAGACACACAGAAATGGCCCGTTCCTTGTAAGAACACAGTTTCTGATGACTGGTAGCAGGCTTGGGTTTCTGTTTCATCTGTGAGCCTGTTTTCTGTGGCTTTCTGGTCCAGGAGGAATTTATTTTTCTGTCCTTCAACAAGACCCCCCCCCCCGTCCCTCCCACCACTGGCAGGTTTTCCTGATACTGCCCCATTACCTGGACTTCCCCTGGAATCTGGTCAACTCCTCTTACGATGGTAGCAGCTTCCCCAACTCATATGCTTCTCGGGTGTGTTGCACCCAGTGAGAAAAGCGTCCTTCCTGAGAGCAGGGTCAGGATCTTAACTAACCAATGAACAGAAACCAAAAATACCACCACCTTGATCACTGCTTCATCGGAGGCCTCGAACCCCACAGTTTTCCGATCAAATTTGAAAATCAAATCAGCAAACAGCAGAGTCTTAGAGAAGTAGATGGAAAACATGGGAGGATCAGAGGTGCAGATGCAAAAAGTGTGCAATTAAAAAAATGACAGCCTTTGGAGAGAGGGCACTTCTGAGTGTAGGGAGGAGCAAGAAGCAGGAGGGAAAGGGTGCATAACTGATGACTAAGTGTGTAAAACAAAACCTCCCTCACTTACAAAGAGCTGAAACCAGGTATGCAAAAGTCTCATGAAGATCCCATTAATATAACCATCAATTAGCAGCACATAAATGTTTTTTTTTTCTTAAGCAGCTCTGGTAGCACAGTGCCTAAGGCATCTGACTGCTAACCAGAAGGTTGGTGGTTCAAACCCACCAGGCACTCCGTGGAAGGAAGACTGGGCAATCTACTTCCATAAAGAGTCACTGCCTCAGAAACCCAGTGGGAGTCTCTATGAGTCAGAATCCACTTGAAGGCAGTGGGTTGTTTTTTTTTTATAAATCATTTTTTTATGTTTCTAAACCATAAGGAAAGATGAACTTGTCAAGGAGATAAACAGAAACAGCCCCAAAGCTTTAAAAATTATAATATTTAATATTGTTCACACTCCTTGACAATACAATTAGAATTCTAGAACAGTATCTCCAAGGAAAAGATGACTGACCTAGGGTTAACTCAACCTAGATGCCACTCAAAAGCACAGGAAGTCTTTACAGATGTCTGAGATTCTCAAAAATGTTCCAATCACATGCTCTACTTCAAAAGGGACCCAATACCTTTTTTTTTCCCTATAAATTTTAATGTTAATGATCTTGAAAATAAGAACCCAGCAGCTTACCAAGCAGCTAAGTATGACTACATCCAAAGCAGAAAGAGTTCATTCCATATGCCCAGAAGACAAGATGATGAAAATATAAATAAATAACAAAAAAGCCACAACCTTCCAACTTCCCGGATATATTCAAAAAGTCTCCTAAATCACAGCTGAATTATGGAAGGAAGTGACACAATAACAGCCTACATAGGATGAATGGGAGGGAGCACATGATAGTAATAAAATCAAGGAATCAAACATGAGATATTAGAACTGTGCATGATGCAGACAAAGCACTACTGGGAGGACAAGGGATAGCTTTAAATGGTCTGTTATTAAAAGGGACTAGATTCAATCTGTATGCTGAGCAAATAGTGAGAAGCTAGACTGTATGAAGAAGAATGTGGCATCAGGATCGGAGGGAGACTCATTAACAACCTGAAATATGCAGACTACACAACTTTGCTTGCTGAAAGTGAAGAGGATTTGAAGCACTTAACTGATGAAGATTAAAGACTACAGTCTGCAGTATGGGTTCTATCTGAACATAAAGAAAATGAAAATCCTCACAACTGGACCAATAAGCAGCATCACGATAAATGGAGAAAAGATTGAAGTTGTCAGGGATTTCATCCATGATTGGATTGTGTTGATTGGATCCCCACAATCATCACCCATGGAGGCAGCAGTCAAGAAATCAGACATCATACTGCACTGGGCAAATCTGCTACAAAAGACCTCTTTAAAGTGCTGAAGAGCAAAGATATCTCTTTGAAGACTAAGGTGCACCTGACACAAGCCATGGTGTTTTCAGTTGCCTCATATGCATGTGAAAGCTGAATGATGAATAAGGAAAGAAGAATTGATGCTTTTGAGTTGTGGTGTTAGCAAAGAATACTGAAAGCACCGTGGACTGCCAGAAGAACTAACAAATCTGTCCTGGAGGAAGTGGAGCCGGAATGCTCCTTGGAGGCGAGAATGGCCAGACTTCATCTCACCTACTTTGGTCATGTTGTCAGAAGGGACCATTCTCTGGAGAAGAATGTCATGCTTGGTAAAGGGGAGGGTCAGTGAAAAAGGCGAAGGCCCTCAACGAGATGGATTGACACAGTGGCTGCCCGTGATGGGCTCAGGTAGAGTAAGGATTATCAGGCTGGTGCACAACGGGGCAGTGTTTCATTCTGTTGTCCAAAGGGTTGCTATGATCAGAGCCAACTCTAT